AGGTTTGGATTTTCATGAATTGTTGGAGATACCACAAGGAGATCGTAGGAGGTATCATGATGATATTTCTGTGATTGTTATCTCACTTGAAGGAAGAATATGGAGATCGTCGATGTGAATATTATTGTTTTTACATGAATTTGAGTCTTTTGAAGAACTAATTACAATAACTCGGGTTGAATTTTATTTTTCCGATTTAATGTTTTTTCTTCGATTTGATTTTTTTTTCTTTTACTCACATGATTTTTTCATATGATGTATTTATTTTTACGTAAATAGTTTAGTGGAAAATACACCAAAGTGAGAATCTAAAATATCTTTGGCTTTTCTTGGTTATATGGGTAGCTCCTTGTATTACATCAAATCAAATTTTATTCTCTTCACTTGATATCATAGATTGTGAAAATATCTTTGTGTCTATGTCATATTAATACACATTGTGGAAAAAAATTATTTTTGGATTCACATTAAAACCAAAAAAAAAAATATTTTTGGTTTGATAGACCATATTTGTGGAAATAATTAGTTCTCGTACGTTATAATCTAAATGATCCCAATGTCAAGACTACTTTTTTTTTTATTTAAAATGTGTACTGTATACTTTAATTTTGAACAACACAAAATTATATACAAAATGTGTTCTGTAGTACTTTGGTGCGTGACCAGATCAACCGATAGGATATATAAAAGAAAAATTTGAACCAGTCCATAAATTAAAATCCTTTTCAGAAAATATTTCCCCACATCAAAAATCTAATATTTCATTTATATATAGTCCTTAAAACCTTTATTTTAAGATTCAAAGTATTCAAAACTCAAAAGCCTGTAAATCCTCACTTCTAAGGGTTGTCATTTGTTTTGCTCTGAAAAAGTCGAAATACGCGTTTTGAACATTTTGTCAATGGTTAGATAAAGTTCTCATTTGACATTATATAAAATAAAATATTCTATCAACTTATCCATTTTACTCACAGGTCTGAAATCAAAAGTCTTTTTAAAATTTTTCCTTTGATTCCCCAATCAATCTTCTCTTTCTTTTACTTTCACAAAAAAAGACAATTTTGTTTTTTTTCTTCTTGTTTGGGAAATATACAAAATATTACTTTTTCAAGATTTCTTTCATGATTGTCATTTTAAGATAAACTTGTATAGAAAACTACCAGTTTTAAAATTTATGAGATTTACGGGTTGATTGGTTCTTCCGTTACCACCCATTCAACTAAAACACTAAAATTAAAACAATTTTAAAATACAATACAATCTGAACGGGGTTAATTAATTTCAAAATATACTTCTCCTGTTTTTCTAAGTTTGGTAAAACTACTTAAAACAGTAGGACTAAATCAAAAGACAAAATTGTGACC